AAAATTACAATATGTATTTTATTTGTTGAGTCTACACCTAGTACGTCTACTTACCACAATCGTAGAAAGGACCCATAGAATACCTCTAACTCTATGGATCCTTTCTACGATTGTTGTAAGTAGACGTACTAGGTGTAGACTCAACAAATAAAATACATATTGGTTTAGCCGGGGTGTGCCGCTCAAGCCTCGAAACCCCTACCCATTTTTCAAAATTTTGAAAACACAGATCCATGTTTAGGGATATTTTTGTTAGAAGATCTAACATTTGAACTGGGACTGGGAAGGAGCATGGTGTTTAAATTAGAGTCCACTCTGAGACACTTTTTTACTTACTGGGCTAGGTCAATAGTTGAACGAACTTTTGTCAGGGCATGGGGAAATGGCTGTCTTGTTGATGCATGCCAGCAAGCGTACCTTCTTCCACCTTGAAGGAATATACAACAAGAGTTCAATTGGCAGTCCTGGACAAAAACTTCCGTGACAACCGGAAACAAGCAAAGACCAAGGACGGTAAACTGCGTTGGGGAAAGCGATGGAACAAACGAACCAAGCATTTCGCTGTGTACCCCATCAAGGAGCCGAAGACATACGCATACATTCCACTTCTCACCTCTGAAGTCTTCAGAATGCGATCTAAAACTCATGGACATCTTTTTCAGCATGTTTCCATGGCCGAAAATGACCCAAGAAGAATCTACCCAACGATCGCCATGAGACCATCACCACCAATATCAGAATTGGTTAAAGAGCACCAAAGCCGATTTTAAGTGACAAGGAACTTTTCCTTTTTTCCTCAAATGTTTGGGGACATACAGACTTTAACCAGTAGAATGACATATATTGCTCTGACTATATATGAAATGCAGGTCTGAGGAGGAGGGGGGACACCCCCCTCCCTTGCTCCCTCGCATATTACTCCCCCCCCCCCTCCCCCGCTAAGATTAAATCCTGGCTACGTCACTGATACTGAAAATGAAAGAAGTATTAAACCGTGTTATATTAATGACATCAATTGTGAAGCATGTGGAGATTTGTTGAAAATCTTCGCTCCCTCGCTTTGTCCCCGTTGACAAATCTTGGCTGCACCACTGTTACTGGAATAGTTAAGATGCACAAGGGGACCATGCCCCCCCCCCATTGATCGGCGAGTAAAACAAAAGAAGAAAGAAAGGAAAAAAGGAAAATGTTTCCTTCAAACAAATTCATTAGGAAAATAATGAAAAAAGAACAAGAGGAGGGAATTGGTCTATGCAACTACAAAAACTACCCCTAATAAAGGTAATGTGCAAGAAAATGCCGTTTTCAGACACACATTTGAAATATCTCCCTACCGTTGGAGGGGGATCAACCCCATCCCACACACTCCCCGCAGTAACCCCGGCTGATAAACCAGACTCATGAGCCAGGGCTGACTGAAAAAATCTGAATGTAATTTTTAAGAAGCCCCTCGAAGCTATAGACAGATCCCATTGCCATTGGTCTAGTTTATATTAGATTTTTTCCAAGAGCCCGTCACTCTTTTTGTGGCTGGTCCAGGTCAGTCTTTTGTCACTTTACCTGCTTACGTGTATATGAGTATGGGACCGACTTGCACCAGTCACAACTGACTGGGCCCCGAATCCTGACCCCCTCCCCCTCCCTGTGTGATTGATTGTATACGTGGATGTGTGTGGTAGTTTATCAGTTTTGTACAATGTAAGTGTAACAGTTTGATTATGATAATGTACCGAGGGAACTTTTCAAACCACAAGCTTCTGCTTTTTTGTAGTTCCCCCTTTCTTTCCTTATTTAACGAAGACATGTAGGACTTGAGCTGGGTAATGTTTTGTTTGTTGGATTGATTTGACTGGTTGTGGACTGGATCTTGTAATACCTTGGCCTATAAACGATTTGGAAAAATAAAACAATTGAATTGAATTGAATATGGCATCTTGTGAGTGAACTGTATGGTATCAATGTGCATGAGGGGTTGAATGGAACTGAACAGCAGAAATCTTGTTTATCAAGTACAAAATTTAGATAACTGAATATCTTTCCTTTGCCTGTCATACCTCTTGACAGTGGACTACCTGGAATTATTCGAAGGCCATCTTAAATCAAGAATAGGTGGTCATCGGAAAGCAGGTTGCAAAGCTACACAGAAGGAAAGGTTCTGCGCCTTCCTCTGTGTAAAGGCCGCAAACATGGTCTTGTAGACATGAAGAAAGCTAACGAAAGAGGAATTGATCCCCTTCTTTATGACGGCCGTATATGCCACTCCACTGTGGCCAGCTATTGCCTTAGTGTAGCATGGTTCTAGGAGATCTTAGCAAATATGAAGAATATCTAGTGACACACTAGAAGAGTCTTGTACCAGACACCAATTAAAGCAACAGGTAAAGGACTGGAGATAACATAAGTGCAACTAAGGCTGAGGGACACAAAGAAACACTGGAAATACTGGAAAGGATAAAAAAAGATCTAGGAAGTACCAGGCAAAAGCCTCTGACAAAGTTTCTCCAAAGATGGCATTGATTTTTGTATATTACCTTTACTTTCACTGCAATATTTCAGTAATTTTTCAAAGTGATAAAGGCAGAGGTATCAATGAAATAACCCCTTTCCTCTTTTGTGTTTAAACTCTTCACCTCCAGAGGAGCAGCTTTCAGACACCAGGCAATTATGGAAGACAAAATGAACCACAGGAAGGCAAATTTTACACAACCGGAGAAGTTACTATTGGTAGAAGAATTTAAGAGTAGGGAGAACACTTTGAAGCCAAAATTCGGAGTGGGGCTCACAGCGAGCTGAAGGAGCAGGCATGGGAGGCAATCGCAGAAAAAATAAATGCCCAAAACCCTTCAGTGAAGAGGACGATGGACGAGATAAAAAAGAAGTGGCACAACTTGACAATAACGATGAAAGAAAACTTCTTCAAAGATGAAAGAAGCATCCCGAAAACCGGTGAGTACTAGTATATTTAATAATTTCTCTTCACGCTCAGATCAAAGACTAAATCCATCTGTCGACTTAATTTGTGTAGACTATACCTTTAAAACGAAAACGAATTTTTCTGGAAAAAATAAGGGAGTGCAGAATGGTGATATTTGATTGGGATACCGTCGTTTGGTGGTAAGTGGACCAATATCTTGTGATACGTTTGTAAACAGTAGAGTAACTATCAGAAAGGCCTACCACAGCTAACGAGGATCGAGGAACGATCGTGCTAGTTGAGTTTGAGCAGGTCCCATTCATGATGTTTAGTGTAAAAGGTGTTCTGGAGAGGACTACCTGGACCTATTTGAGGGCCATATTAAGTCAAGAATTGGTGGTGGTTGTTCGAAACAGGATGTTGGAAACCAGGTTGTTGGAAACCAGGTTGTTGGAAAGCAGGTTGTGCAAAGCAACACAGAAGGCAAGTGTCAGAGGTTAGTTGCCTTCCTCTGTGTAAAGTCGGTGGCGGTGAGCCCTGGATTACTGCTTTGTTGTAGTGCCTTCCAGACTTTACATGCCATGATAGCTTGTATTGGGCGAAAAATATTGCTTCTAATGTTCCACTAAGCTTACGAATTGCAACAGAAAACAATGACATCAAGTAAAACGGGAAGAACTGCTCAAAAGAGGGTATTACTTTACATATTGTCAGAATAAATTGTAGCTCAATGGGCCCTTTTTATAATTGGCTAAAGAGCCCTTAAAATAATTTATATTTTTTTCACTTTAAATTGAACAGGGCAAAGGTATTGCATTGATTTTTCCATTTTGAAGATTAAGAGTCTGATCTGCATTCTCATTGTATTTTATGTTTTCAGAGCTCTGTGGTTGAAAACCAATGGTGGGTTGTGTTGATGTTGTGACGTCAGAAGCGGGGTTTTTAGCTGGATTCTGCATTCAGGTCGTAGAGGGCGGGATTTGATTCTGTGGAGCTACTGATTTACGTTACACTGAATGTTTATTACACTGAACAGTCTACTGTTAATTTTGTTTTCCTGAGACAGCCCAATGTTGTAAGTAGAAAATCACTGCATATTATGATCGCTCAATATTTACTCTTTTGCCTGATGTTAATGGTGATTATAATGGTGGATTGATGTGATGTATGAAATAAGATTAGTATCATAGAACATCCATACGTTTTGAATGTAAATGTACCACATATAAGTTTTGGTGTAAGTAGCGTATACGATAATTCATGCTGGAAAAGTACGAAATATCCAAGTAAGGTTATGATATTATGAATGAGCAAGAAGCTCTATTAATGTACGATTATGACTTAATTATGAACAGAAGATGATGGTCTAAATTTAGTTAGCTAGGGAAAGTAGCATTTGAGGTAAAAGGGAAATTTTAGCACAAAATGATAGAAAGTAGGTCGGGTCAATTTGCATGACAAGGGTAGGCATACAGAATATGGAGTGAATATTTTGATACAGGCATCAAGGATAATAATGTCATTTATAGTTATTATTCGGTGCTATGCATTAATTTGGAAGACAGTTTGTTGCATCAAACTTGATTGTTTTAATTGCGTGATGCATATGTATATCAGCCATGCTGATAATTTGTTTTATCTGTTCTATCTTTTATTAAAGGTTGAACCACTCATTGGTATCATCGCAAGGGCATTGTTGTCGAGTCGTCATTGCAGTTGGGCTTAGTAATACTCATAACGTCACCGTTCCTACAGGTTGTAAAAGCATGTTATATCACCTTAAACTGGAACGTAGGCTCCAGCTTTAATTTGCATGCTACCTAAGTGACATTGCCATAGTACAGTCATCAATAGGGAAACAAAAGTAGTACTATGTTAGGCAGTTTGGCTTGGTCTATCACAAATGCCCCTTTGAATATTACACTACAGTTAATGTGCTATACCATTAAAACTGAAGTGCAGTACACGCCAGGATTGCCCTGGGCATCTTGATTTTGAATTTTTTACAGGGGCCCGTTTCACATAGCCTTTTTTCAATGACAAATGACAAAAATCAGTGACAAATCTGATGATAACCAATCAGAAGCAAGTATTTCAGTAGCTTATAACAAAAACTGTCATTTGTCACTGATGACAAGTTTTGTGAAATGCCCCTCAGGTCTCAGTCTCTATCATGCGAGGACAAACCACACTCTCATGTTGCTATATTGCAGACGTCCAGGAGACAGAACTTTGAGCGGCACGTCGGACATGGTGACCTTGAGCCGAGCCACGTCTCTGGTTTGTCCTGTTGTTGTCTGCTCACCCACCACTTACACAGGCACTCCAGACACCACATGGGCCGGCAGTAGCACTGGACACACTCCCCCTGGGTTGGGTCGTCACACAGCTTCACCAGCTTGACGTTGGATGGGGTCTGCAGGCAGCCTATGCAGGCCTCAGGACGCTAGCGAAGGGAGGGAGGGAAGGTCATTGGAAGGATAAAGATTAGATAGGTATTACAGTGTCAGTCTATGCACTGATACATTCTAAGACTGTATAATCTACTGAAAACCAGAACGACATTAACTTGAAACCTTCTGATTCTCGTAAAATGATTCCATAACCCCAAAGTGATCATCAGCTTTTTAAATAAGGTTAGAAGGGCAAATGTGCAACTGTCAGTTGGGCTTCATTTAATTCAGAGCACGAAGCTTTGCAAGTCTGAACCACTCACAACATTTGTGAACATTCAAGTTTCTGGTCTTACAGTTCTTTTGAAAAGCTATGCATTGCATTCTATATGAAAGTAATAGTGACTTATGAATAGACCAGTTGACAACCTTGTATAAAATGTAATGTGCATAGAAGTTAACTCTACATTAACTTGTGTGCAGGCAATTGCATAATATTATGCTTTCCATTGAGCTCTTTAATAAACCATTTAAATGTCTTACATAGATATTTAAGGATGATTTCATTTACAGATGCAAAAAACAATCTTTTCTGGTCATTCCTCTCATAAGAATCACTGAAAATATTTCTGTGAGAACACAGCATTAGTAAACTTACCGGTGCCCCATCGGGTAAGGCGTATCTTTGGTTACCATCCACCTGTTGTCTGAATGCCTCTAGGAACCTGTCAGTCAAGGTCTGTTGGATGACTACATTCCTAGCGTTGACTATCGGCATGCTCACCTTATCCTTGAGGTCTCGAAAATCAAGTGCATTCAACCTAGCATCACACAAATAGAAACACGGATAGTGTCTGATTTATAAGGATCTTCAGAAATTCAGATATATATGTGGTGTGGTTCTTCAAATGGAAAGATGGACTGTTTGATGACAAGTTCAGGAATAGATTGAAAGGAGCACTGTAATTTTATGGATTGATAATATCAAGTTTATACAATACATTGTGTAAACTATATTTAACTGTGAGTGTGAGAACATCAAAGAAAGAGTCATAAGAGTTTAGAATCTTTTTATAATGTTTAATTCTAAGACAGATGATGTGTAAAATCCTTTTTTGTGTGGAAGATTTGATATTACAGAAAACTTTAATTGCTTGAGGTGATCATCATCATAACAATAACAATAATACAATGTGTCAATACTATGTTATATTTGTTCTTTTTTTAAAGATGGAAAATAAATTTTGGAGAATATTGACTTTCAAAATATTTCTAGTTTCCATTTAAAAAAAAGAGTGCCTTCATAAAATAATACAGATATTAATATATCTGTATTCATATTTATCCCTTGTTTTGTTATTACGTTCCAACATGCAACAGTGTGATTGCCACACATCATTTCTTCACACGTTATGTTTTTGGAAAATAAAACAAATATATAGAGAATAAAATACCTTATTTGGAATGGTTTGATATTCCTGTTGATACTAACTACCTCAATGGTCAGAATTTGTACACCAGTGCTGCTCTCGTGAGATAGAGCATGATCCACAGTCTGCAAAATATTCAAATGGCAGTCTTGTTTGTGAGCAAAGCACACTGAATATGCAGAAGTCCTAATGATCCACGAATCTGTGACGTAAACTCTACAACTTGGTGGGCCGGTGGAGAACTTGTTGATCCGCCGGAATTCAATGTTGATGTTGGAACATACAGCCCACCACGAGTGGTCATGATGTCCGAGGGTGGCCGAAACAGGGTGATTTGACCAGTGTTTTCTTGACCAGTAGTATGCTATGACCAAGGCAATGATGGTGACCAGGACAGAGGTGATGAGGTAGGCAAGCCATATGGAAGATACTTTCCATGGTTGAAAGAGATTGTACTCTGGACAGACCAGACCAAATCCTATGTAGTAACCTACCAGGAAAAAGAAACAAGACAAGTAGAACCATTACAGAAACCGATTTATATTATGTTCATGTTTATTTTCATTGTATCCAAAGGAAACATATTATCTCAGTTCTTTGAGTAATTGCATAAAACTATATAATATAATAAAGTAGTGATGGCGCTGTTGATCATCAGTACATTATATTTTGTTGTTGTTGTTGGTAAATGTTTTATGGTGTTCATTCAGTATTGAATATATACGCCATAAATATCTTCAATTTTATAAGAAAATCAGTTATAGTCTTCATAAGAAAACTGAGAATAAAGATTTGTAATGAAATAATTAATTAATAAGTAACGCAATTCATTAGGAGTCTCTGGAGTCTGGATGGTTTGCAACTTCGTGTTTCTGCTTTTTTTAAAGTTTAATCTGGTCAGCCTGGTTTTGATTGCATGGAAACTAGCTTTGCCCGATTTGAAACAGGCTTCTCGGCTACTCGGCGTGCGTGCGCGCGCCTGTTATACATGTATGTCTGCATGAAAATTGGAAGTTCTTTTTCATCCTGATAAAGTGGAAGGAGATTAAGTGCATCTGTACATTTAACAAAGTTAAGTTTATTTTTTATTGTATTCAAAGTATACTTAACAAATTAAAATGTATTAAAATTTACTTAACTGTGTGTGTTCTGTCAAATATCATCTTGTTGCACTTTTTAGCGAAGTATTCATGCTTGTGCAGCGATTTCATCATAACAATTCAAAGGAACACAATATGAGTTATGGTAGTGAGACCAAATTTCGCATTGAGAATAAGTTAGACAAGGCTATGGAAATGTTTACAACCAATATACAACTCCTGATAGGCAAAATTGACCAAAAGGCTGATAGGTCTGAGGTTGTTTCCATCCAGACACAACTCACTGCAGTCAAATCTGATTTGGACTCGCTGAAAGTGGACCGACAAACAAATGCAAACAAAGATGTTGGACTCTGTGTGAGTGAAATGGAAGAGAGAGAGGTAAGAAAACTAAATGCTGTGGTTTTCAACGTTCAGGAGAGTGATAGCATAGATGATAAGATTAGGAAAGAGGAAGATACTAACTTGTTTCAGGCAATACTCACACAGATTGATGCTCCACCCACTAAGATCATAGACGTTAGACGTTTGGGGAAATACAGCAGGGAAACGGCCGCTGGCAAACCACGCCCCCTTAGAGTTAGCACCGAAACAGTCAAAGAAAGGGACTCGATCATAAAATCAGCTCCGCGACTAAAACAATTTGTTAACACAAAGAGAGTTGTTATTCGTAGAGACTTAACTCCGATCCAAAGAGAGGAAGAAAAAAACTTATACATGGAATTGCAGGAAAAAAAGGGAGAGTCAGCCCGTCAAGGGGATATGAATGCACAGTGGGTGAGAAGGAGGGGAAGGGTGACCAACATCGGGACATATATAGAAGCAGCACAAGCAAAGAGAATGGAAACAAATGTGAGAAGAAAGACAAACATAACACCCGTAGAACAAGTAAAAGACCTGGAGAGCCGCGAAGACTTCCCAGAAATCAACCAGTAGGTTGTAAACTTAATAAACTCAAGTGCATTTATGCAAATGTAGATTCATTATTGAATAAAAGAGATGAATTTAAATCAATCATTACTTTGTATAAACCACAAATAATTGGCATTACAGAAGTTAAGCCAAAGAATTTACGTTACAATGTTGAAGTAGCTGAAGTGAAGCTAGATAGTTTCGATATTTTTCATAATCTCTACGAAAATGGCCGTGGGATTTGTTTGTATATATGTAAGAGCCTCAAAGCAGAGGCCTATACAAGTTTTTCTGTTAGTAGCTTCAAAGAAGCAGTTTTTGCCACAGTTGATTTTCAGGAAGGTGGTAAACTCCTTGTAGGTCTTTTTTATAGAAGTCCAAACGCAGATAACCGTGTAAATGATGGGTTGTGTGCACTTTTCCAAGAAGTGGGTCAGAGTACCTTTCAGGATGTTTTGTTAATTGGGGATTTTAATTTTCCAGACATAGACTGGGGATTAGAATCTTGTACAAAGGGTGTAGAGCATCCAGCTCATAAATTTATTGAGAGTACTAAAGATGCTTTCCTAGTACAGCACCAAGTTCAGCCTACACGGCACCGTAGTGGCCAATGTTCCAATGTCTTAGACTTGGTTTTTACAGCTAATGAACATGCTATTGCAGATATTACAACCTCTGCCAGTCTTGGCAGAAGTGATCATTATACATTGATTTTTGACATGAAAATAAGAGGCCAAGGCGCCAAAACTGGAGAAACAAGATACATTTATGATAAAGCAGACTATGATGCAATGTATGATAAGATTATGGAAATTGATTGGAATAATGAATTTTGGGAGATGTCCATGGAAAAATCATGGTCTTTCTTCAAAACTACACTGTTAGACATCTTTAATCGTTATACACCAAAGAAAACACTAAACGTAAGTCAGAGGAAAAAACATTGGATGAACAGAGAGACTCTGGAAGTGGTTAGAGAAAAACATAGACATTTCAGAAAGTGGCAAGAGATGAAAAGCGAAAAAAATCGGGAAAAGTATTCTAGTGCAGAAATTGAACAGCAAAGACGTTGTTATAGTAGATCCAGCAACCAAGCAAGGTGGCAGTGTAGGAAGGCGGTGAGTTCATATGAGAAATATATAGCCTCAGGAGTTAAGAAGAATGCAAGAGCCTTCTGGTCATATGTAAACTCAAAAATAACAACTCGGGAAAGTGTCTGTAATTTAACCAAACCTGATGGGAGTAAAACAGAAACGGATCAGGAGAAGGCTGAGGTTTTGCAAGATTTCTTCTCTTCAGTTTTCACCCAGGAAGATTTACAAGATATTCCTCTCCCTTTAGATGTTGAATTTGACACTCCACTAGACGACATACAGATTACGTCAGGAGATGTGTTTGAATTACTGCGTAGACTTAAGCCTAATAAATCTCCGGGGCCTGACAAAATACATCCCCGTCTACTAAAAGAACTAGCAGATGTGTTAGCTCTACCGATTTCTTTGCTGTTCCAAAAGAGTCTTGAAAGTAAACAGTTACCCCAGGACTGGAAATCTGCAAATGTTACCCCGATTTTCAAGAAAGGTAACAAAAGTGATAGTAAAAATTATAGGCCAGTTAGTCTAACAAGCATTATTTGTAAAATGATGGAGAATCTTGTGCGTAAGCAATTGCTTGACCATCTTATGACGAATGATTTGATTTCAGTTCACCAGCATGGGTTTGTAGTTGGTCGGTCTTGCATCACCAATCTTTTAGAAGTGTTGGACCAGTGGACACAGATTTTGGATGATGGAGGCACAGTAGATGCCATATATTTGGACTTCATGAAGGCGTTCGATACGGTGCCTCACCACCGACTGCTTCTCAAATTAGAATCGTATGGAGTTCGTGGGAATGTACTTGCATGGTTAGAGTCTTTTCTGAGTGGACGGCAGCAAAGAGTAGTGGTCAGAGGCAAGCAGTCTAAGTGGGGCAAAGTCCTGAGTGGAGTGCCGCAGGGCAGTGTGTTGGGTCCATGTTTATTTTTGCTATTTGTCAATGACCTTCCAAAAGTTGTCAACTCAAATATTTCGATGTTTGCAGACGACACAAAGTTGTATGTCCGTGCTGATACTGCAGATTTAAGAAAGCAACTTCAAGAGGATCTGTCACGTATGGAAGAATGGGCTGAGAAATGGCAGCTTTGCTTTCATCCTGATAAGTGTACTGTTTTAAGGCTTGGGAAGTTACCGGCAGAAGCCTCTACAGACTATTGTATGAAAAAGGGGACAGACTCTGTAACACTATCTGTTACAAACGTAGAAAAGGACCTAGGTGTCCTAGTAGATTCACAACTATCATTTAAAGATCACATTTCCCAAACAGTTCTCAAAGCGAATCGAGTACTTGGAGTTATCCGTAGGACATTTATGTACCTCAATACTGATACTATGCCGTTTTTGTTTAAAGGCCTCGTTAGGCCCATTTTAGAATATGGACAAGCCGCATGGTCCCCATACAGATTAGGAGAACAGAGAATGTTGGAGAGCGTACAAAGACGTGCAACAAAGATTATTCCTGGCCTTAGAAATTTAACATACCAGGAGCGCTTGACCAAACTCAAACTACCAACTCTTGTTCACAGGCGTAAAAGGGGGGACATGATCGATGTGTATAAGTACGTGAATGGCTTGTACACTGTGCAAGAGATGCCCTTTAAGATGAGTACAGAAGATCGAACTCGAGGTCACTCTAGAAAACTTGAAAAGAAATATTCAAGGCTAGATATAAGAAAATACTTTTTTAGCAATAGAGTCGTGGAACTGTGGAACGGTCTCCCAGAAAACGTTGTGGCAGCTGGGTCGGTAAACTCTTTTAAGAATAGACTTGATAGTCACTGGTCAAAGAGTGTACCAGTAAGCCTTCTGTATGAGCCGGTCTAGGTGTTGTCTATTGTCTCATGTTATTACACAACCTCCTCCCTCCACAAAATAGCAGTAATCACGGAAGAATCCTGGATCGATGAACAGGCTTAGACCTACAACATCGTGTTTTAAAGTAAAGTAAAGTAAAGTAAAGTTCATGGACAACCTTTATCTTTTCAATTCAACTTTATTTTGAAATTTTGCCATCATTCATGGAAAAAGACTCAAAGAGTCGCCTAAAATTAGCTTGTCACACTAAATTTCTTAAAAATCTACGGCCTGGCCTGGCCTCCTTAGGCCTATAAAGAAATTGTCAAGATTGCAATTTTGTGTGCTTTCCAAAAATTTGTGACCCAACCGATTATAACTATCAGGGTCATGATTATCAAGAAAACCGTTTCATTAAAATTTAGATATTCACATTTAGCATTCACGATGTTAATTGTTATCCATTTCATATTAAGCAATTATTTTGCCTTAATTTGCATCTAATCTTTTATAGTTGATCATCTGTAAAGTCTTGTGCAAGAATTCGGTCTCATTCTTTGTTGGACCTTGTTGTGTGTACCATTTCTGACATCAAATTTTGAGGTCGCATTAAACTCCATTTCTGAAACTCAACATTAATTGCTTAGCTTTGTAATTAATTCCTTACAAGTTTACAACCATTTACAATTAAAAGAATGTTAGACCCCCCCCCCCTATTTTTGTGGATGTAAATTTGATTAAACAGTATTCGGCAAGAAATAAGATATCAAGGAATCGATCAATCGTGACATTTTTGAATAATTTTTTTTTTTTAATGTGCACAAACTTTTACTTTCAGGAATTCAGTTCTAGAAAAATCTAGTCTAGATTGACTATTGACAGGTTGGGTTTGAAAAAAAGAAAATTAATTAATGAAGGAACACTCTACTTACCTAAAGGTATTAGGGTGTGAAAAATTATAGTTGCTGTCGTCCTTTTGATGTGATACTGAACAAAATGAAGTTCTTCACTCCCCAGCCAAGATGAAAGCAGATTCTGGATAGTAAGGCCTGCAGATCGAAACTCGCTCGGAGGGACAACCAAACAGGCCGATAAAAGCATGTAAACTAACGTGAAAACGAAATCCGCCGAGGCCTGATACATTTCTATTTTCAATGAATGATACTATTGTATAATTTATAACGAGAGATGTTGCTGTAAGAAGTACAAAACACTTTTCACGAGGGGAAATAACCAGAACTAACGCGAAATCAGGTACCAGTGGCAGTATCGAGATCTTAAGTCTTTACACCGATGCGCTAGCGGGCTAGCAATCGTTAGCTTCCCGTCCACGTCGTGTCCTGATGAGCACACAGCTACCGCACATATTACGATGGAAATAGTCGACTGAAATTTTAGGTGACTTTAATCGAAATATAGAACTGCCTTGCCAAACAACCTATGATCATAAGTAGAGCTCAGTGATTAATTGTTATTTCTCTTTGTCTAATATATATACTTATCAAATTTACTTGTAGACCTATATTAATTCGAAAAATAATGCCACCCATGATTAATGCCAAAACATATTTTAAAAAGATATCACTACGGACATGATTAAAATGACTAAATTGACACCTCTAAATGTTGTTGATTCAAATCATAGAAATATGAGGGTCCTGTCTCTTCATATCTCTCAGAATCTGAAAAAGGAGGTCATATTTATATTCAAATCATTGATTTATATTAGTGAAATGTTAAGAAACATATAAATAAATTACAGACTTAAAATATATTTCAGGCGTATATAGGCACATTTTCACGGGGGGGGGGGGGGGGGGGGGGGACTGACACAATTTGTCCAGATAAAATCTTTTCCATATAGTCACTAAATTCTGGATGTGAGAGAGCAATAAAAATAATACCAATAATCACGATGACTTTGTGGTACAAATCCGTTGATGGAACTTTAAAAATCTTTTGGGGCAGGGGAGTTTCTGTTATATGTTTGATACCATCATGTGTTTGTGATTTGGTCTCTCACTGCTTACTTCTTGTGAGGGGTGTTCGATCTTTATCAGTTTTGTTAATAATATTTAAACAAATCCCCTATCACATCCCAACTGCACACTCTCTCTCCCCTTCTCCCTCTCATCATCATTACTTTCATTATAATCATCATAACCATCATCATCATTACTTTTATGATCATCATAACCATCATCATCATTACCCTCAACATCCTTTTGTAACAACTACACTATTTGTCTCTTTTAAAATATATTTTATCATACACTATAACGTAAAAAGGAAGAAAAGATTTATATATATTTAGACAGAGAGAGAGAGAGAGAGAGAGAGGGGGAGCAAGACCAACAGTGGAAAAGAAGAGAAAAAATTAGGAGAGATGCTGGGTAAAAGAGTGAGAGAATGGAAGAGGAAAATGCTCACTATGAGACAGAGGTCAGTAACTGGAGAACTGTTATCACCATCATCTCCTTTATCATCATTATCATCATCTCCTTTATCATCATTATCATCATCATCTCCTTTATCATCATCATCATCATCATCTCCTTTATCATCATTATCATCATCTCCTTTATCATCATCATCAACATCTCCTTTATCATCATCATTATCATCATCTCCTTTATCATCATTATCATCATCTCCTTTATCATCATCATCATCATCATCATCATCATTATAATCATCATCATATCATCATCTCCTTTATCATCATCATCATCGTTATAATCATCATCATCATTATCATCATCTCCTTTATCATCATCATCATCATTATAATCATCATCATCATCATCATCATCATCATCTCCTTATCATCATTATAACCATCGTCATCGCCATGGTCACCTTCATCATCACCAACATCATTATCATCATCATCATAGGCCTACATTTTTGTTCCTCTATATTCTTATATACTAAAGTGAAAAGAGAAGGAAAAGAGATAGAGAAAGTTGGTGTATGAGTCTAACACCCGAAAAGAAAATTAGGAGAGGAGCTAGGTAAAGAGAGTGAGATGGATGGAAAAGAAGAAAATGTTGACTATGAGACAGAGTCCAGTAAAAAGAGAACTATCGTAATTATCATCATCACCTTCATCATCATCATCATCATAATTACCATCATCATCATCATCATCATCACCTACACCATTATCATCATTACCACCATCATTGTCATCTTCATAGGCCTTAATTATTGTTCCTTTTCATATATATTTTCTTATATATATTAAATAGTAAAAAGAAAGAAAAAAGTCTTACCGTGGAAAAAAAGAAGAGAAGGAGAGGAGCTACAAGGTCTAAAAAAAGAAAGATGTTGTATTGCCCTTTAGGTGCCAAAACATGGGTCCGTCGGTCAGAAATCTTTTTTTTTGTTTTGTTAACTCTCTCTTTGGGCTGATATTTTTCAATTTTGAATGCATTAATACATTTTTTCTTCTAAAAAAAGGTTTAAAAAAACTTGTTTAAAAAGCCGACCATTGATTAAAAAAATTGTGGGGTTGGTCGCAAAGGGCAAAACAACATCTTTTTTTTATAGACCTAATAGATAAAGAAAGTGAGACCATGGAAAAGAAGAAAATAATTAATTATCATGAAAACAAATAGTTCAATAATGAGACTAAGAACGACACAATCACATCCAATGCAGCTTTGGTGTATTGCCAAAATCCTACAATTTCCCATTATTAAACATATAGAAGCCAGTCAAATTTCACACAAAGAAGCCATGACTCAAGTACCTTTATCACATAATAAAACTCACTGAAACAATCAAAATAACCCAGTCATCACTATGACTATAAAAATAAAGGAAAAATAATCAAAATAGAAAAATCACTTCAAATACTGACAAATTTCATGCTTTTTTTTCTCATTTAAAACATGGTGAAAGAAAAAACCTGAAAACTATACTGACAAGTACACCTACCAGTGTGTGTGTTTAAGGACAATAAAATGCAACAATTCTCTTTATCACATACAAATCAATTGTAAATTAACCTCACACAAGGGCCTATATTTAATTGTTAACAATCTATTCTTAACATTCGTTGAGTGCTATCATTTTCAATGAGGAAACTTTTGATTCTTTCATACCTATTTGCAACAAGTGTATTCAATATAACAGATGGTGATACATATGAAAAATACATCACATCATACTACAGCTGTTGATGATGGCAGTACATCATTACATTTGAGCCTTTTAATAATAGATTCTCTACATAAATTGTATTGTTCTTGCCTATATACGATATCATATCAATGTATCATAATATGATTAAATGTAAAGGACCTGTTTCTGAGAGGATTTTTGACTGGGATGGCATATATTTTGAGGGAAAATTGTAAAATCTTTTCTAAAATAGAAAAATTACATCATTGTTTTGAGGTGGTAGAATGTTGTCATTGATAAGTACTCTGTTTGGAGCCAGAAGGTCTCTAACTCATATCTTTTAACATGGAGTTAAAGTCCTTCTGCCCCCAAACAGACAAAATGATAACAGCCAGGTTTATATTTGATTTTGATAATTATCTTCATACTTCGAATTTTTAATTTCATTTTAAATTCATTTGTGATTAGTAACAGTTGGAAATTCTGAATAATATGTTATACAGTGTGGGAAAAATTTATGTATTTTGGCTGCATAAGATACTAAATATTAAAATACTTGAATTAATTATTAATCACACAAATATATCTGATGGAACTCTAATGCTCTATATATTGGAATGAAAATAAGTTGGCATTCAATTGAAATTCAAATAATATATTCAATCTTAATTTGCAAATAAAGGCGCATAAATATATACCGAATTCCCAAATACCGCTAATGTTCGGAATTTACAGCAAAATTCAATTAGTCCTACTAGGAAAAATGTCAATATATATATTAATACTAGCAGCGCTGTAGCATTTGGATTATCAATATAACAACTAGTGAGCCAGGGTAAAAGTTAATCTACTATTAATGGCTCCAGCCGGTATACCAAAAAACTCAGGCACACACATGAAGATAAACAAAAGGTGAAAAAACAACCAGTTTTTCTCACAAGCTTGGAAGAGCAAATACGTAACAATATTAAGTACAGTACAATGGCAATGCGTATAATAATCAACAGCCAAATACAAACTCAAAGGAATTCACCTTCTCCTGTTATAAATCGTAAGGTGGAAATCAATAAAATAAGCCTAAAAAAATGACTATTTCAATACAATCAAATACGGTATAGAAACAAACATGAATGTTCATTTTCTGAGTTAGAAGGTGAACAAAAAAGAAAAAAAGACAATATTGGTATAATGATTTCAACATTGTCTGAGGCACATCTCTACTATAAGACTGAAAAGACATGTACCAGAAGTAATTGTTGTGATAAAAAAAGGCAAAATACATCCAAAACATCCAGAATATTCATTTCCAACAAGTGCCCTATCGAACCCAGCACTGATAATATGCATAAACACTTACATGGTAAAGAGAGAGAGAGAAAAATCAGCTATTGACTGCTGTGTAATACTTTTTGTCTATTCGTCATGCAATTCATAGAGTCAAACTTTGAAACTTTCCAACAAAATTTGGTCAGCATTCATACCAAATACTAGCACTAATCTTGAAAATCCACTCACATTCAAATATTACAAACATCTCACATCACAGTGTGGAGAATAATGTTAATAGATTCATAATTGCCTACAAAGGTTTCCAAAATTTGTACCAAATAACAGGATATTACATATGCGCAAAAATCCCCGCAAATTTACAAAAGCATTCTATATCACTATTCAAATTCAATATTTGAGTAATTCTGTATAATAAAAAAACAACCCAAAACAGGTAACAAACATTAAATACTCTTTTGATAACACCACTGTTAATACTAAATAGTAATTTCTTTGTATTTAACTCATAAGATCTGTTCCATTTGTTTTTTTAATTTACAGAAGGGTTTTCACCACAAGCTAATCTCAAATTTATAGGTGTATAACGTTGAAATAAAAGTGAAATATTCATGCCCCATTTAATACTCAGATAAAAACAATTCACAATGGTACAGTATGTTTGTACCAATTTACATTCCTTCAATTTTTACAATTCAATGTTTCTCAAACTTTATATATGCACACAGAAATAATGATTTGCATGTGACGACCCTATTCTCCAACGTTTCTAACAAATCCAGATGAAGAATATTCTCTACTCTACACAAGTTATATCCAGATATTCAAAGATACAAGAACCATCTTATTCTAGACATTCTAAATAGCATTTGCCTCTAATCAGTCATCAGAAGTATGTCTTCCCATCAACAAGATGAAACATCCCTTAATCTGGGTTACAAAACAGAGCTCTAATTGGATCTCAGAAAAATAATGTTTTCTATTTGTTTAATATGCCACAGTTAATGAAAGTTTAGATGTGTATGTTTAATAGCAGAGTTAAGACATACAAATGACCAATGCATTTTTCAACAGGATGAGAAAAAAAATGATGTCACTGGATTACAGCTTTTACGGTATGTAATAAGCAACAGCAGTTAGGGATATACTACAATAAAATAGTTGACAGCTATCCTTGTTTTTTCACTCATCCTTGTAAACAACACAACTTTTCCTTTTTTCAAACATGGATTACATCATTTAAGTTAAAAACAATGTGGTTCCTACAGTACTGAATCTTGGTTAATTCAATTACTTTTTCATCTGTGGCAAATTTGGTCCATGTTTTTCTTTTAGTAATATAATATATGCCAATTCTTTTCCCCCTATTGATTACTATACTCTATCATCAAGTGTTATAAGTTAAGAATAAATACTGATTTCATACAAGTAATTCAAAAAAAATCTTGATGAATGATAAAGTCAAAGTTATAATACATTTGATGTACTTTGTTTCGTTAGAAGTGATGGTTTTAATTGTTCTGTCATAGAAGCGCTACGAGGGACAATCACACACTCACATTAATGGACAAACGGATAAACAAACAAACAAACAAACAAGGCTGTGAAACAGAACAATCCTAATCAGTATCAATATCATCATCATCATCATCATTACTATTGTCGAGATTAAGGCTACACAATAGTTGCAAAGAGAAGCTGAAATGAGGTAGTTTGGTGACTGGTGACTATCACATCTAAGACAAAACACCAGCATAATAGTGTAGGCCCTATGAGAGCAGAAGACCAGCAAAGTCGTCACAATCTCTGCCTGAAGAGATTCTTTGTTTGGGTACATGTACCCTGAAGTCAAGTACCATCCAGTGACAATAATATTCTAATATGAGTTTTAAAAAAAAATGATTTGAAGGATGCATCTCTTTGTTCTCTTTTTGCAGCATAATTCCTTTTTAATGGAATTTTTAGATTTTTAGAATCTGTATGATAGAGCAACACCCTTGCTTTAATACTACACACGCATAAATTCTTTCAATATTCTTTCAATATTCTTCTGTAGTGCTACGGACAAATCATGATTTTGAACACTTTTGATCTAAGAATTTTACAAATGCAAGACATATCACAAAACTTCACAGCAAATCCAGACTTGTTTCTTCATCTAATGCTGTATGATTTCCCTGCAAAGCCGGGAAGTCTATTGAGGATACCAGAGAGGTTCTACAAATGCTAAGTGCAGAACATCATATAGGTAACTGTCATTTCAAATCCACACTTGAACGATTCAGAGGCACTAGACTTTGACAAGAAACAGACGAGGCATTAAACCCCTCCACTACTTCGTTCATTAACGATACCTGACAAAACTGGAAAATTCAAACGTATCCTAACAAAAAGTCATATATCACATGGTTCATGAGTAAAAACCTATCTTCTAATATGCGCCCATATATGCTCAAAATAGGAAAATGCTATCACAAAGAAAAGGAAATTTCCTACATCGAGTCTTACCGTAACACTTCCATGCTTCATACAACACAACTTGTTAAATTTTCACACAATGAGGAAATACATTCACTCCATGAACAAGGCATTGTCATTTGTTTTTTCTATCATTTTTTTTATTATTATTTTTTTTCAACCACAATGTTCCAGAGCACAAATCCAACTATCCAACTATCATTAACGATGTTTACTAAATACTCAATATGACATAATTCCACTGTAAAAAATTGAAGATGATATCAATAATGTATTTGTTTGTTAAAGAACACTGCAAAGTCATATGCTATCATTATTATTCAAGTGGTAAGACTCTCATATCCACCATACAGATAATGCAATTAAACAAATCCACAGCTAACGATAAATAGACCATTAGAAAAAAATTGTTTCATACATTTTTTTGTCTTTTGATATCTCATGATATATGATATACATGTATTCCTACGTCAGAGGTACAGTGATACAAAATACTGTGTATAAGTTCTTTTTACACTGAAAGCCGCAGCCATCAAAAAGCGAATAACTTGTTGGTGAGATTCTAATGAAAGCATGTATACACAACAAAGCCTGATATATAAAACCCAGAAATCTTTATATTCACGCCCAAATGAGTCTTACAGCTCATTCTAACTACTCTAGCACTAACTCTTAAAAAAGACTAGGCACTCTTGCTCTTCAGATAAGATTTATAAGAAAAAAAACACGAAAGGAAATACAAGTGACTCTGATTCGCGTGTAGGTACATTTTCAAAATTCTTAACCCATTTTTCTATCAAAATTGCATTCACATGCTAGATACTGATTAGAATAATATCAATCAATTGATGCGCGGGAAGCATAACATTTCACTAGTTTGGTAAGTTTTGCTTATCATACACCTCTAAAATCCACTTCATTGCTTGCTTTAAATCAGGAAACATTGCATCTACTTGAAAAGAGAGAATCATGCATGTTAATTTAATTGAAAAGGGGCATTTTTGAGGGGGATTGGAGGGGGGGGGGGGGGAATAGCATATTTCATGCATAACAAATTGCTTGCAGATGGAATACTTTAATTTCAATATTTTTACATGAAACAAAACGAAGGCTATTCAATATGCTGTGAGGTTGGGGAAGCATGTTAGAAGATGCATCACAATCCAGGAGAAATTTCTTGAATTCACAGAATTATTCCAAAATATGAATTAAAATATGAATCAAAATTTGAGAAAATAGCACAATTTTGTACAAAAATGCTATTTTGAGATCAAAAGGTTATAACAGTTTCTTTCAATAGTGTTGATAGCATTTTTTGGGAATTGTTGTTATGACAATATATGAATTGTTGGCAAAGTGGACTGGAGACAATATGAAATCATGAATCTTAAAATGATGTATTGTTCTCTTATGGCATTTGACCGTCTCCTTTATAACCTCATCTTAACCACTGAAAATCTAACACATATCCATCTCAATGTTTGCTTGAAATGACATCACCTTGACATGTATGGTAGTATAGGTCTTGCATGAAAATATAGAAGTCCATTCTAAGCACAGTTTCCCTTTTTCCTTTTTTGTTTTTCCTAAGAAAGCACCACATAGCAGAATACACTATTGCATATTGCCAACTAGTACAAGAGTTCATCGGTAATAATACTTCATAGTTTACAATCAACAATCAGGACTGGAAAAAACGTGTAAGAAAATAAACTTTCAAAACATGATAAAGAAAGGGAAATGGTTTTGTTGTTGTTTTTAGTAGAAGTATTAGTTGCAAAATGACAAAAGAAATACAAGGAACAAAACTAAAATCATTTCTCCAAAGAATAAATATTGCAAACTGGGTAAACACAGAAGTGGATAGAGCAAGCAGGTATAGTAATACAATATTGGCAACATGAAAACAAAAGACTGATGACACAACTTGACCTACTTATAAAAAAAAGGTATAAAAACAAGTCAAACGTGACGATTACACGAGATCTATGAAAGTGGAACGTGAATATAAAAAGTAAGTACACCATAGCAAATTGTCAGTGCCTACTTGCAATATAATATCAAGACACTCTAAGGAAACCTCACCAAAAAAAAAGGAAAGAGGAACGACTTTGGACGTAAGGAAAAGAAGGAAAAAATAAAAACCTATAAGGCACTGTTAATGATCGATAGAATGGAGGGAAATATAAAGAAGAAAAAAAAATCACTCATATCTATAAATGCACATATAAACAGTCGTTGCCATGGGAACTGTACTTTGCAGATCAGAAGGGGCAACACTACCGGGTAATCAAATTTAGCACTATCAAAAGAAAAGAAAAAAAAGTAATTGTGTTTATCCCTGAGCAAAAAACTGTTAGAGCAACATTGTTTGGGGAGTTGGAGCGATAAATCCTGAGCAAAATTGAATCAAATTGACAACATCCTGTGCCATTGGCCTATATATGACGGAGAGAGTATAGCCGGATCATGGAAGAATGAATAGCACGTCGGTTCATTGGGACGACAGTAGCTTCGGCAGCTAAGGAATTCAAGACCATATCTTGACAAATATCTTGCATATATGGAAGATTTTTGTCTTTTAAAATGTTTTCTGATCACATAATTGTAACAGTGAAAAGCACTGAACAGCGCATAATAATTCAAAATATTTCAGCACTACTTTCATCTGATCCATGTTCATTACGCATTTTAAGGAATTATAGGAATATCAGAAGTAATGTCATATAACGATTTATCAACGGCTTAAAGAAAGCTGGATTTAAAAAAAAATGAAATGGCAGCAGCAGTACATGGAAATATAACAAAATATCAACAAAAATCAACTAATAATAAATGAATACACCAGGATTAAGTAAATGCCACATGATTTGCAGATAAATAAAATAGGAAATATCTTCTAAAAAGCATACAAATAGCAAGGTTTCATTCATAAATCTTTGATGAAAGTATGGAAGTCATACTTTGATAGAATGTACAGAGAAGCTAAAATTCAATTTAAAACAAAAAAGCATGAGTATAGATTGCACGATTAATCTAATGAGAAAGTTACGAGAGAAAGAAAGAACCAAAATGCATGGACAAAAAGGGTACCTTCCATTAACACGGGTTAATGATAGCAAAAGTATGACATTTTGAGGAAAAAAAATTATTGCATTTTTCAAAATAAAGCCACACCTCATGAAGGATTGAAGCCGTACTGAATTAGAGACTGGTCACGAACAAAAAGTTTTGACGAGACCATAGTGCTGTTTGAAAATATCATGCTATATTTCATCCAAAACACTAGCTAGGAGGACTAGGTTTATTGCTACGCTTGAGTTGCTTGTGAGTCCCACGGAACATGCTCTTGCCCTACAATGATTGTTAAATATAAATTTGAGAGTACTAGCATGATATAGAACAGAGTGAAGGTAGCTGGCTCTAAACACAAGGTTACATATTCTCTGAGGTACATGTACAACTGACTGCAAGCAGGATTACTTGGTTAGTTTTTTTTTCTTCTTTCAAACAACAAATCTAATTCTCTGCATAAAGAGTGCATATTCAACCGTGTACATAACAAACAAAAATAATTCTAATCTCAAAAAGCAAGAAAAAAAGAATTAGTAAATATCCCTGAAATATATAGAAATAAACAAGACTTTGATCTTTTAGTGACTCCTCTCAATGATGCCTGCAGGAAGCCTCAAAGACCACATCTTTGACAGGCTGATCTGACGACAAGCGTTTGTCTCCCTCCTCCTTGGCTGATTGTAAGGGAAGCTGATGATTGGTCGATGACACATCACATGACGGGTCACCTGATGATCTTGCAGTCACTGTCTATTGGTGCGCTTTGAATGCTTGGCACGATACTCTAACTTGATTGGCTGTTGATCTCCGAGGCATCAGCACGACAGATCGGGCAGGTCCTGTTGCTCTTGAGCCACTTATCGACGCAGCGGGCGTGGAACTCATGACTGCACGGCAGAACACGTAGGGTCTGTCTGGTCTCAAAATCACTCATGCATACCACACAGCTGCAAGAAAGAAAATTTGAAAATGGATTATTTTTCTATCTATCAATTAGGGGTAAATACTGAGTTTGTTGATCATAATTAGCCAAAACAAAAAAGGTTAAATGAATCAAACGTTGACTTTCACTGGCTATATAGTAGACAAACTTTGCCATCAGAATAGATTTAATTGACTTTAACACTAAAAAAAAGCATATTGGGGGCTATTTTTGGTTTGTTTGGGTCACAATATTTGTACAAGAGAATGACTGTGCAGTGTGCTCTATATGAAAATAATGACACATGGGACAAAATCTAAATGATCATAATCCAGCATTTCCAATTTGATCATTTGCATAGATTGAATTGTTCAATATGATTGTAGGAGGCTCAAAGGGCACAATTGTTAGTGACAAAATATTCTACACGAGCTGAGAGCAATTTAGCAATAGAAAGCTCCAAATGAGAAAAGATTAAAACCAAATGAAAAGTGCCTCTTGTAAAATCACACTTTTTAATGGTGTATCTCCTTCAGAATTCTACCTTTATTGCCAATTCAAAAAATGTAATCAATTTACATGTACTTTAAAAAAATCCTGTTTTGAAATGGTTCACAAAACAGGCAACAAATCTCACCATGTTTGGTCATTAATGGTACGAGGTGTCTCTGGATTGTAGCGGTACGAAGGTAGCTGATCGATGTTAGCCTTGCTCAATCCCCTGGGCTTGGCCTCCCCGAGTCTCTCGGCTAGGTTCAGCAGGGCCTCGTAGTTCTCTACCTCGGCGTCATCCGCTTCCAGCTCCACGGGGAAACCCTGAGTCACTTGGGGACTGGGTAATCTGAAGAGATATCAAGGTCAAACATAGGATGCTGGTCAATAAGGTCCGATTACGATTCAATTACAGGATGATAAAGTGACATGTTGATATCAAAATTACTATATTTATACAACAAAATACAAATAATTCTATTTTGAACATGGGCATTAGATGAATAATATTGGCTGGTCAATAAGGTGCAATTACAATCCAATTACAGGATGATCAAATGACATGTTGATATCAAAATCACTATATTTGAACTTGAAATCCATTTATGCAACAAAATACAAATAATTCTATTTTGAACATGGGCTTTAGATGAATAATATTGGCTGGCTTTTGCAGAGGATACATACATTGCCCAAATATAATCATATTGCCCTCATCGCAAATGAGGGTGATATGATTATATACTGGAAAATCATTGATACCACTTGAAAATTGAGCAAGTCCATAATCACAGTACCGTATTCATGGACGGCTACTTTATACTTCAAAGCAGCTGTTTATATTCTCTTTTCTGTAATTTTAAAATTTCGCTTATTACTATTTATCTTATTTTGGTTAATTTTTGTCTCATTATTTTACTATTACCGGTAATACTGAAGATGACTCAGTAGCCAAAATCCTTTAATATCTATAATCATACCAACAAAAAAAATGAATAGTTGTTACCATTAAAATTTTTGGTTAAAACAAAAATGTACATGAAATCATTCCTTTGGATTTACATCTTATAATAATAATGATAATACATCACATTTGTAAAGCCTCTACTTTCTTTCTAGTCGCAGTATATATTATTACCCCGGTCATTTAGGATTCAGGTTTACCCACACACAATGTATGCACATTCTCCACTCCTTGGGGAGCATTCCTGCTTTTGATTACTGTATTACATGTAGTTATTCGAAATCAACTTACAGATATCTGAAGAGAAGAGGTTGGAGGGCTGCAGGTGGGGGTCTGAGTGGGCGTGGCAACGGTCTCCGTTGGTGACGTCCCATACTGTTGAATCTTGGGTAAGTAAACTGTAACCAATAATCAAGATGATATGAAAAGAAAGTTAATAACAGCTGTTTCACATCATATACAAATTGCAAATAGTGACAAAACTACTATGTTACTTTTATAATGATTGACATCAGATATTGGCAGATAGTGTCGCCGATGGAAATTTGGTAGCATAATACAAGGATAAAGCATTAAACGTTTTCAGAAGCTAGGTATTTATTTCAATGTTTGTGTTGATAAATAACATCTCACATGAATAAATCTCCAATTAAGAGTTCAGAGCTGATTTTAACCATGAAAACATGTCAAGGATAAAGGTTTCTCTGAATTGCCACAGAGGGAGCCCTAACCTCCACTTTACCACAAGCCCTTTTGCAGGTGAGTGAATCACTGGGTTGTTTATGACAAACATCTTTTCTGATACTGACTAAAATCCTACAACTGTCACTTTGTTTGGAGTATATTTCATATACAAATTGTATGTGTTACAAAAGTTGACTATAGCAGGCAATATTTGTGCAACTAGTTGACCAAAGGGGGTAAAAGGTTAAAGTACAAGTCCACTCAAAAAATAATTTTCTTTCAATAGAAGCAGAAAAAACAAACTTTTTTGATTGGTTTGTCTGATTGAAAGTAAGTTATTTTTGGAGTGGACTTGTCCTTTAATGGTTTTGAAGGGCTTACGATACTGACCAGTTGGTGGACATCTGCGGAGGTTCTCAGGTAGGGGTCAGGGATGATGTGGAGGGAATTTGAGGTGAAGGGAGGATTATGATGCGTAGATGAAGGCACATGGAATGCTGCTGGACTCTCATTCATCAGGTGATCCACTTCACCGGTACGCTGGTGGTGCTGCTGTCATGGAAACAATCACAACATTGCATTAGATTCTTACATTCTTTGATTAAAGAGTGGGCAAGTCAAGGGTATTTTGTCCCACACACATTTTGATATATCTTGTGATCGTATTGAAACAAATATGTTATCTATGTTCATTATTCTATGACACTTGTTATTAAAGTATAGGGCACAAGACGGCCTTGAAACTTGCACTTTCTTAAGTATGCAATCTTAAGATAAGCATGTAGTCTTTGAAGACTTAAACTTTGCTCTTAGGACAATTACCCCTAGGATTTCTACCTTTCTAGTATAATTGCCCCTCTATGGCAGCTGCTAAACAGACAACTATGCCTTATTTACCAAGCAGATGAAGATAAGTGTCTCTTACCAGAGCTATTAATTACAATGATTAGCACCTTCCTATGGGGTAATTATCGAAGAGGAGCATTGTCACGTACTGATTTGATCTAGATATGTTTTGAACTTACCTGATGATGTGGTGCTGAGGGAATGTACTGCACCTGTGCCGTGGGCATGTGATGATGATGGTGGTGATGGTGTGCAGCAGGGTGCTGTTGCGCCGCCGCTGCTACTTGGAGGTGCCCTAGAAGTGCCTCCTGTTGCTGTTGCAGGAGGCTGGTCTGGGTCCCCTGCGAGACCGGCATATGGTGACCGTGGCAGGTGGGTATGTGGATCCCACATACCGGCAGGTGGCCCACGTTACACATGGGGATGTGGGAGGGTAACGTCTGATGGTGGGGCGGTACTCCACCGGCGAAGAGGGGTGATGGGTAGTGGATTGACTGGGTGGTGCAGGTTGGCATGGTGGTATGGCCGGTGCAGACAGGCACCGCAAAGGTTGGGACTGACATTGGAATGGAAAGGGGTACGCTGCTTGGTACTGACACCTGGTAGAGAAAAGAAGCATACAAAATATCATCATTACTTCCTTTATGTAAATTCTTTTTTTTTTTTTATACAATATATCTCCCACTAATTCAGGAACACATCTCATCAGAATTTTGTGCATATTTATTTATCTATATCATGTACTGTCAACTAAGAATGTTGCAAAACAAAGAAATCATACAAGAGCCCTACAAGAATTTGAATTCCCTTCTTTCAAATAGTATCTTGCAGAGTGATGTCAACTTTTAATAAACACAATATTATTCCTCTACTATAACTTAGTCATGGTATTACATATATGTATCAACCTCTAGATTGGAGGGCAATTATCACATCATCAGCTAGATGACTTGATCCAAACTTGTAGAGAAAATATAGAGCAACCTTCAGGCTTATGTTCTTTATATTTTACTGGTTTCTTAAAACTTTCAGCAGAAATACAGCAAGTGAAGCAAAGCATAGCAAAGCAAAAATAATAGTTGAGAAGGAAAATTCTGGGGAATTTTATTTATCAAAAGAGGGGGGGGGGGGACCTTTACCTTTAACTATTTGTATTTTTACTGTAACATGTGATTATACTCGCTAAATAGTAAGTTGTGTCTTACATTATTCCATACCTCATTACTGAGATCAATGATGAGCTGAGGTTGGAAGGGAACCCCTTGATGATGGGCTTGATGGTTACCATGAGGTAAAACACCAGGATGTTGAGGAGGGTTGGGAGGATGAAAGGCCCGTTGGTCGGCAGGGTTCATCACACCGATCGACGTAGGCTGGTTCCGGCTCCTCAGTAACCGCTCCCTCTGACGTTGGCTCTGCCTTCTCATCGTAGGTGGACTACAAGATGGAAGATGAAATAACAAGGGAGAATGAGAGAGGATGCATCGGAAGTGTTAATGGAGAAATATCAATACATCTGGTTTCATGATCACTCATGCTCTTGAATAGGTAACCATTTTTGGTACTGGTAATACTCACACATGTAAGTCTGAATTCTAAGCCCACTAATAACAGTTTTAATATATTTGTACGCCTTTAGTGATTTTCATGAATTATGTATACCGGTATCCATTTTTGAGGACATTTTCTTTATTTTTAAAGTTTTATTTGATTCGATTTTTTTCTGGCTGTGTACATAAAGTATACAAGGATCCGCACTAACTATTTTGGAAGGGGGTAAGGATTGAATTTTTTACAGTCTGTATGTACCAGCCCTATGTAAAAGCTTGAAATTTGTTGGGGGTCCAGACTTATATTTTGGGCGCCCATGGGTCCTGGGCGCCTGATAGTGTCGAGCCTTGCAGTATATACTGTCAATAAAGAATTTATAACCCGCTGAAACAATGACTTGTTTACTAGTATTTGTCAGTGATATAGTGCTGAGACTGCAAAGTGATTTCCTACACAAAGTTTGGACTGATTTTACAATATTCCAAATATGATCACCCTGGAAATTCAAATTTTTTTTTTTTAAATTGGTCAATTTGAGTTTAAAATTACAGAAAATTGCAGGAATTTGATAGAATTGTTCCATCCACTACAAAAAAAACCTACCATGTACCTAACACAGAATGCATAATATTTTTGTTATTATAATTTCTATCTTGTCACAAGACTGGCCTTTAAAATAGCATGCTACAATTCCCATTATCTCAGTCAATATCTGAGCAACCCATTCTGTTTTGATGGATACAAAGATTGACAGCGCTTTGCCATGAGAATGAATTGAAACAACCTTCACGGTTTAATGATTAAAACATACAAGTAATTAAGTCAGTCAAATCTCAACTATTCAACAAATGTTTACACCGGTTCTGACTAATTTTCATTTTCAGCCTTTTGAATTTACAGAGTGGAAAAAAAATTGGTTGACACATCAATAAAATACACTTTCTTAACCAAAGGTGAAGCATAAAACAATCCAAAATAACTGCAAAATGAGTAAATTGGGATTTTAAACAAAAAAGCCTAATAAATGCCCTTGAAAAGAATATTATACAGAGCTTCCACAAAAAAGGTAAAAAGTAAATTGGTCAATATTTTGTTCAACAAAATTCAATAGACACAACATCATATTCCTGTCTGAAAATATATCTCAAAATAAATCTCAAAATAACTTGAAATTTGTTTCTTAGATGAGAAAGAGGGCTACTTCTTTTTGAAAAATGAGCACATGATGCTGAAAAGCACTTGCATGATCACAAAGAAACTGAATATAAAAACTCTTCTAGTTGATGTACCAGGCTCAAAAATTAGGTTATGGTGATTTTACCCAGACAGTCCCCTGTAGGCTTTATATCATCTCTCATACAAGGCACACACAATCTACATATCATGGAAATAATGAAGTCGTATATACGACATGCAAGGCAAAGTAAATGGAATCCTATGGGTTTTTTTGTCAGGAATTTTCATGAGGAAGGTGAGGACCGTGAGGTTCTATTTTATTTGATCTTCGGTATTCATCCAGCAAAATCTAGGTAAAATTGAATATAATTTAAGAAAAACTAGCTCACCAATCATCATTCTACCCATAATAATGCTTATTTATAGTAATGTAAACAGTTTTATCAGACATGTCTACAACAATGCTGAAAAAACTTTCTCTGAGATAAATGATTCCTTACATTCTTTTGTTTATTTTTCTGATACCTTGATTGTAATCCTGCTGCATGGTATTCCAAAAACTCATTCATTTTGTTCAACATTTGTCTGCATTGACAAGCACAAGCACATACTGCATTGTAAAAAAAAAAAAAAAAAAAAAATTAAAAATGATTGTATGGCTTCAACCTAATTTTGTAAGCAGCTTTCCAGGGAACTCTTGTTCAAGCTTCTTGACTGCAGCTGTTGAAATGTTAGTTATCGCTAACATAAATTAAATCAACCTAATGATGATGATTTTGGTATCATTGAAATAAGATTTTTACAAAACTGTTCCCAATTTTCCATCCACATTCTATTTATCTTTCAAAATCTCCCCTTGTTTATTACATTTTGGGGATTTATTTCATTTTATTTGTTTGTTTCCTTTCCCCTTCTCTTTACATTTCTCTAATTCTATGAAATGCATATATTTCTATTATTCTATTGTTATTTGGAACTTCCCTTCAACATCATCTTTCTTTTATATTACATTATTATTATAATTTTTTTCTTTCTTTTTAAAAATAATTTTTTGTTTCCTTATTCCTCTTCTTCGCATTTTTCTGATTCTATGAAATGTGCACATTTCTATCATTGTGTACGTTCCTTTTTCTGTGGCTTTTTGGAACATAAATCAATTGAAACTGAAAAGTTATTTTATATTACATTATTATTAAAAAAAAAAAAGAAGAATTTTTTGTTTCCTCATTCCTCTTCTTCACATTTCTCTGATTCTATGAAATGTACACATTTCTATCATTGTGTCTGTTATTTTGTCTGTGGCTTTGTGGAACATAAATCAACTGAAAGAGATCCTTACCTAATCCTGCCAGCTTGTCTCTGCGCGGCTGGGTTGTTGCACCAATCGAGGGGTCCTGCGGTACCTATGGTGTGGTTGGTAGGGGGCGATCGATGCGCCCCTGCCCCAGTGAAGGGGTGGTGCGGGTGGTGATAGCTGGTGGTGCCTGATAGCCAGGGCCGGGCCAGGGGAGGACTGGGCGACGTCTCTACCAAGCCTTGGGACATCCTTCTTCGCTTTCGACTAGGACTCTCACTCTGTAACAGATAAAGAAGAGGATTGCAAGAGGTAAATTAAATGCTACATACGTCTAATTAGCTTCATTAAAATTTGGACATTGCATATTATTTATTCTTAAATCTTAAATCCTACAAATGCACATATGGTGAAAAGATTATACTCCTTCCATAAAAGACATTTTCAAATGACAACTTTGAAAATAATTTATTAATGAGAAATGACTTATCATAGAAACAAATATGTGATACAAAATTAAGTACTTTGATCGGGTAAAACATGATTCATGTCTGTTTCATTGTTATCTCTAGAGATATCAGTGTTTTGAAGTGTTCAATACTGTTTTGGCTTTCAAGAACTAAAGAACCATATACCCAGTATCATTAACAAATAAAACAAAACATTGGTAAGTAACTGGATATCAGTTGGCATGGATCCATGATCTTGATCATCAAGAAACAAAGAAACAGAGTTCTTGTAATAAAACCAATGTGTAAAATAACTAGAATACAACAATAAAGGAAAAAAGATTTCTACACATAGATTCCAGAGAAATGATCATTACGATCTTGACCACAATGGTCTGAATTCTGAAAACAATACCTCAAAAAAAGAGCACAGCATGGAATATTATCTGTGGCTAATTTTCTTGAAAAGATCATATTATGTTCAGCTCGACTATAGAGAAAAAGATAATTCTATAAGGATCATCGTAGACTATATAAATATGTGATAAAGTACACAATATCAGCTTCTTTAATCTATTAACAGAAAGGCACTGATAATAAAACAGATTCTTGTAGCCAGGCAGTAGTCCAGTCATAGCACATTGTAAAACGGAAGTACAGTGTGAGTAATAATTACATAATAGATATTGCACCAAGACAGTCATCAACATCTTCTCAGTCTCATCTTCTACTGCAAGATGTGGTCAATTAATTGATAAATACGACAGACAAGATGCCAAAATTAAAAATTCTAGTAAATATTTTCAGTACTTTTTCATATTTTCAATCACAACTATGTTTTTTCTATGTACTGTTGCAAATAGTTTGTACTGGAAACATATTAATAACAACGTTATTAATTTAATATCCAATACAAACATATATATTGCGTGTTTTCATTAGTTTAGGTTTGTTTAGTTGCTGTATATCCACCAACCTTTTCTCTTTTGCGATCACTAAGACAGCCCATGGATGATATCCTCAAACTTAAAGACACATATGTCTTTTTAGCTTCACTGAAAATAATATTGCTTCTCTACCAAATGTGTTAACTCATTGATCCTGCTGTAAAGCTCTCCTGACTTTGATCAATTTTGACTTTATTTCTTTAATGTTAGTTGTTTTCAATTCCCTGTAGAGTAGAGTAGAGTTTACCTCTGTAGTTTGTTTATAAATGCGGATATGAAACTCTGTTGGCCTGTTCTCTCCTCTGGCTTATTCCCAAAATGAAACTCCGCTCTAATCCGCTGCTAACATTCAAATAGGATGATCCTCTCACAACGCTTTAACTATATGGGAATTAATTCACGTCATAAAGACAATCATTTGTGAGTGAATGTAAAGTTAGAAATGTAAATATCCACTGAAAACTTCTTCCTGCACTGTAAAAGGAAAGCCAACAGCATACGCAGTCACTCTACACTACAGTCCAAACTGCGATCCAAATTTATAGGCAGTGGCTAACAACGCAACCAACGTAGCTAGCTAGCTGTAGAGTATATATCCACATATCCAGTACACACAGAGCATCTGTATAGAGTCGCACAGTGAGTCCTTTCACACAGAGAAGCAAACGCTACGTGCTTTACTGAAGAGAGCATAAACCTTACTGATTGCCGTGCGCTCACTTGTATGTATGCATGCATCGAGCCAAGCCAAGCCAACTCAACTCAAGTCACCCCCTAATGAATGCCCGCGCCTGCGTGGCGGGCCTGCCAGCATAGCTTGCCTGATAGAGTATAAGGCCCAACAACACTGTTTGCAGTGAAAGAGGATTTAGTTTATCTCAGGGCTGAATCAGCGTGGGGCATTGACCCATGTTTGTCATGGTATTAGTGTGTAGTGAGAGAAAGAGAAAGAGAGAGAGAGAGCCAATGGAGGGAGGAGGAGGCACCCAGCATAGCTTCGGTGAGCCTTTGCAAACGCAGGCTGATAGACAATGGCTAAAGCTATGGAAAGGGTCACTCGCTCAATAAATGCGTGGGTGGAAAATGGCCAATTCGGCGTTGGGTAGTGGGCTATGGAGCGGGAATGAATGGACCTTGTATATGATGTGATGATGCTGGTAGTGGTGGTGGTGTGGGTGGATGTGAGTGTAGTGACTGGATGCATTCTTGGAAAACGGTTAAACTCATGATTCAATGTTAACTCTTCTGAGAATAGGGGAAGGACGACTCATGGAACAAGGGATTCTCATTTTCTTTGAATTTGATAATCAAGGAACCTCGACATCAAGTTGGAATTCAGTACAGAAAATGTATGCAGGACAATTCTTGATGGTGATTCAATTTGAGATGTTTGCCCATTTCCACAACAAAAAAATCATGAAATAACATCAATATAAGAGTTACCTACTATGACCTCTTAATTTCATGAATAATATATTGATAGATAGAACATACAGGCCATACATAATTATAAGGTTTTCTTCTTCTGTCTTTTTTCAATCAATAGAGTTTTTTAAAAACCCAACTCCATTTACCTATCAATCGAAAGATAGTTATGTCACTTTAATGATTTCAGTTGCCCATTTTCATTTTCCCTTTCCCTCAACTTTAAATTACATACTTTGTTGCTTCAATTCAAATAGCGACTTCTGTCCCGTTTGAATAACAATTTTCTATTTTCAAATTATCTATCTCTCCCCGAGAACCAATTCACCGCCATACCCATGGGTAGTTAGTTACATTCTTCAAGAGCATCTATTGATCAGTTCCTCCCTGTCTAATACCTATAGATTGATCCCCGATCTATGTACCCTCATCTTTAGCCCCAACCATGTCCCTCTATCCAGCCTTCCAACCAAATCCCTCTATTCACCGCACAGCCCGACCATTCATCCTGAAATGAGGCTAAAACCACAGTGGACCTCTTCTATGGAAGGCTCTGTGTGCCAAGTCACCTTTGTATTAGGCTTAGGCCAAGCACTGAATAGGCCGGACTAACAAGCCGGTGCCCCCTCTTTAGTTGCTCCTCTTTTATGATCACCCAGAATCTTTCTCGACTGAGCAGTGGCTTTTCTTTTCTAAAGTTGGCATTTATCTAGGAGGTATTGAAGGTGGGGAGAAAGGTTCCTCTTTTATGATCACCCAGAATCTTTCTCGACTGAGCAGTGGCTTTTCTTTCTTTCCAAAGTTGGCATTTATCTGGGAGGTATTTGAGGTTGGCGAGAAAGATTCTTGGCTCCCCGTCGCATATTTTATGTGACAGTATGAATGCATAGAAACAAGAATGTATGAAGAAGAAGAACTGGCCAAGAAGAGGCATGACTGTGTTTTCCAACATGTTCATTTCCTGACCCTTTTTTTAAATTTCTTGTTCGGAATGGAAAGTAGAGCATTTTCTCAAGCCTCATAGAGGCATTCACTATATTACTATCTGCTCTAATATACTCCCATTTAGGAAGAAAAAAAAAGAAAAAAGTAAAGAACCAAGATGTGATTAGTTTGAATATGATTTCATGAGCATTGCCATGAAAGTGTGTAGTTTTTGTTGAGTTTATCCACAGTAAATTGTGGTTAATCCTTTGCTGATTATTGTGATTTCATATTTACTTGCTTCCAAGCAATGTTTGATCTTGAAAAACAATATGTCTAATTTTCATGCATATCTTTTAACAACAATTAGTTACTTTGTTCAAAATAAAACCTAAACATTAACACGGAAGAAAACATATAATCCATTCCAGACAATATGCAAGTAAAGGTATAAATCTTAACTGTAATTTTATTGAAATCCTTCCTCCTTTATTCTGATATTGATATACATACAAGCAAAACTAATCTCCTCTTCAAATTCACATGCAAGTACTAATGCACCAGTCAACCGGAGTCTTGAACCTACCCCCCTCAAGGATCGTCAAGCATTCGACGTCAACTCGACGTCGAATCTTGGGGTCGCCAAAATCTGAGCGTGGTGAATCTTTGACGTATTTTTGTTTGGCCGTAGTGAATCTTTACCTTATTATTTGTAGGAGAAGGTGAATCTTTGCCTCATTTTTTACCGAATGTTGTGAATCTTGAACGAATATTTTTCACATACAAGTGAACGAGCGTCGAGTGAAAAAATTATCGTGTGTGAACGAGCGTCGAATGTCTTTGACTAGCTCCAGGGGAAATGAGGGTTCAAGATTTAAATAAACTGTGACGTGGAGCTAGCTACGTTCGAGTTCGGATTTCGCGCTAAATCCGGTGTCCACGAATATTAAAACCCGAAAATATATACCTTCTAAACCTTCTGAATTTGGAGTCAGCAGGGCGGTATTCCGCATGTCGCTAACTTGTATGGCAGATTTTGTGATGCCATACAAGTTAGCGACATGCGGAATACCGCCCTGCTGATGAGTACCAAAAGTGTACCCCGATAAAGTTTTTAATTATTGAAGAGTTTCTAATATGTCTACACTCAACGAAGACTGCTTTGTCAACTGATCACATTTTGGGTAAATCATAATATATCCCGGCTATGCAGACGTGGGGGAAATTTGTTTACAGCTGCTGTCACGTTTTGTTTACTTGTATAGCCTGCGCCAACGAAAAAAATACACGATGGCAACGGGGCGATTCGCCTCCTAAACCTCTGAAATCGCCACAGTAAATATCAAGACGAGGGCGAACAAAATTGATATATAATGAAAAATCGCCCCCGCCATAAATTGATATTCCCTGGGAACTAATAAATCAATTTATTGATATGTCTGACTGAACTCTCCGTTCCAACTACCAACTCCAAAACTAGAAATTTCCATCAACATTTTAAAAGTTTTGTGATTGCAGCGGATCGGCGGTCGTACCTACTGCTGTAGCTAGATCGGTATATCCGCCTAGCCTAAGCACGCGGCCAGGCCCGCGCCCCCGATGTAAAATACGGAGTACAGATTCACAATACACAGAAACTAGCTACTCCAGTGCAGCGCGAGCCCGCACGCTCCTCACTATGAACATGATGGACAATTAAAGCGGACAAAATATACAGTTCCTCAGGTAGACAAAGGAACATCCCTTCACTGCTATTATGTAAAAATGTGTGGAACAGGTGTCACATGCATATTCACCTGTTCTACACATTTTTACATAATAGCAGTGAAGGGATGTTCCTTTGTCTACCTGAGGAACTGTATATTTTGTCCGCTTTCTTTGTCTGCCATGTTCATAGTGCCTAGAGTATGAAGCAAATAAGTATTTGCGAGTGACGAGTGCTGAACTGCTAGCGACCAAATTGGTTCGTAATATGTTTATTTAGTTTTTTTTCCGACCCGAATTTTTATCATGGACAGTGCAATCCCATTAAAAATAATGTTATTCCGTCTTAAATTGTGTTATTTATAACTTAAAACCATTAAATGCGAGTATATTTTTACCGTTGTCCCACATACCGATATATTTGTTGTAACGAAACGTGCAAAATCAATGCCAGATTTTTTCCTGTAAAATCGGTATAAAGCTAATTTCGTAGACAGAAATTGAATTTTGTTATAAAAACCCCGTAAATAAATATATAAATGATGTCCCTATACCTCAGCATTTTTCTTACAACTGTTTAATTAAATTATATTATTTATATACTAGGCCCATTGTCATTGATGCCTGCGCCGCGCCTGAGTGATGGCATCAATTTCAGTCTACGAAATGAAACTAGCTTTGGCTTGGCCTTTTATAGATTAGAATTAGAGTGTATACGGGAACAAAAATACGACTATGATTTTGCATGTTTCTTTATAACAATGATCGTTATGTGGGACAACAGTAAAAATATTCATTTATTGGTTAAGTTATAGAGTCTAGATCTAAATAACACAATTTTAAACGGAGTTACATTTTTTTTTTAATGGGATCGCATTGTCCATGATAACAATTCAAATTCGGGACAGAAAAAAAAGACAAAATGACACAATATTACCTACCAATTTGGTTGCTAGTACTAGTAGCATGACGGCTAAGGAAAAACACAACTTATTGTTACAGCTTAAAATGAATTAGCCCCCACTTTTCTTAAAGTAGCCCCCATAAAAAAAAAAAATCCTAGCCTAGCTGCGTGTCAGTGACAACATTTTCTTATATAAAAACAAGCAGTTGAACAAAACACTCCTTTTGACAAGTTTTAGCCACATGTAAATGTAAATCATTAAGCCACACGTTTAACACAAAGTGAATAAATCATGGATACGGAGATCCAAAAATAATAATTATTGGCGAGACATCGTAGCCGAAGCGGAGACCCGAAAAAAATAATTAGTGGCGAAATTGTACCTTTTTTTAAATTCTAGCTACCATTTTCAGAAAACAGATTGTTTCCACAAGTACTCATGATCAATTTTATGTTTCCTTTACTTAATCACTCTATCTACCATAGATAGCGGTGCTGGTGAAAGGCCGGTGAATCTTGACCTAATAAAAATTAAGCAGGTGAAGACGTGTGGTGAATCTGCACCTAATATTTTTAGCGGCGAGGTGAATCTGCACCCTATTTTTCTTGGAGATGGGTGAATCTGCACCTTATAAATAATTTGGAATAGTGAATCTTGACCTTATCTGTTACGAAGCAAGGTGAATGAGAGGTGAATCTTTGTGTCGGACGTTCAAGACCAAAAGTGAATAAGAGTGAAGTCTTGAGGGGGGTAGGTTCAAGACTCTAGTTGACCGGTGCATAAGTAGAAGAAGGGGGAGGGGGATATAGACAATGCAAGTGTTAAGTAGCCATGGCAACAATATTTTTTTCCCTTCTTATTTCATTTTTCCTATGAGGGGTTTTGTTGTATATTCCCAAGCGGTAGAGAGGGTTACGGGTGCTGGTGCTTTGGAGTCCCCTGGCGGTTTCACATCTAAGTGAGCCCACCAGTGGTCCAAGAAAGGGCCAAGTTTCACACATGTGCAGGCGTATCAAGTCCCGTCATTCAGCCGAGATAACTAGTCTTCATTTGCAAACAACGTTTCACTTCTACATCGAGAAGTAGAGCTACCCATTTATAGAAGTGCGTTTCT